CCCTTACTTTGTTAAGAGGTCTTGCATATCAAAGAACCTCGGAATTCAAGTGTATGAGAGGTGCACGCTTCTCAAAGATGCTAGATTCAGCTTCAAGTTCCGTTTCTTTTATACTATTATTCTTTTACATTGTTATGGTTCTACATCTTCTTCTTAGGTTGCAGAATGCACCGTTTGTCGCGCGAAATTTTGTTTCTTTAATACCACGGGGAAGCCAAGATGAAACCGCGGGATAAAACAAGAATAAGAACATTTTTCGGCAAAAATATCTGTGAAATTCATGCCTCTTGCGGTTCCGGTGCATTTTCAACGTACTTTTCCAGAAGCCATAATCGTTCCTCTGCCAGACCAACAACGTTTTTTGTTTATAACCCTCACTTCGTCTGTCTGTGTTCTTTCGAAGACCATCATATGTACAACTTTGCAATTCCGCACAAATTTTTCCGTTTCAAATATTTTCATAAAATGCCTACAAATATATGTGATGAAATGATTTGCGCAATGTGGTCATTCTTATGCCTGTTTCTTTGGATTTCTGAAACCCGCGCACGAAATCGGTTCAGAATGGCCAGAAGACTTCGCTTCGATAGCAGTAAAAGTTATATTCCCGGGAAAGGAATGCACTTTGAGGATTATCGTTTGGTTCTATGGCTTGCAAGTACAGGGACCCCTAAACTTTTGCTATCGGGAATTATCCTCGCTAAGGGCAGTTTGACCATTGGGGTCCCTAATTTAGAATATTATGCGTTTTTGCACCATTCTCACAATCATCTTCTAAGCTGTTCTCGAAGGAGCAAAAACCGCGGTAGCTTTTCCAGGGCATGGCTACTTTCAGAATACCATCGAGTGTCCCTTCCTCCCTCTCAAAAAATTTATACGGAGAGGTTCGACGGATGACGATATGCGTTTCTGTATTAACTCTAATTTTTGCAAATTTTAACTCGTGACCACTGCGGATTTCTGGTGCTCCCAGATGCCCATTTATTTGTTTTACACGGTTCAAAAATAACCCATTATGGCATCATTATCGCTATCAGTTGCAATAATAATGAATTGTAATTGTTCGTGTGACCATCTCCGCTTGAATCTCCAATTTTCTTGCGTGTATGTTTCTCAGTCTTTTTTTTCCTTTTTGTTAATAATAAAAGTTCACGTCGTTACAGTGCTTCACTACCCGGAGATCCCGCTATCTCCAACTCTGAGTACGCTGCATGTTGTCGTCTGATGAATGAAGTAGAGGATTATCGCAGCGCGATTCTCGCTTTATTAGATTACAACATTCAGTCCTATCACAGGGATGCAGCCTAGCTGCAAGGACGACAATAATGTAGTGCTGTCTGACGAATGATAGATGCAACATAGCCGCAGGTAAAGACTAAAGTGGAAGGAAATCCTGTATATTTTATTGTATTTATTCACTGTGAGCGCACAGCAGCTTATCGCAGAAAAGCAACTGTTCCCCGTGCTCCACACCGTTAAATTTGTGATTGTTTTCGAAATCATTACGCGCAGGCATATTTCACAACAGAACTATTTTTACAGTGGTGCATTGTGCATTGGTCAACAGTTAAAGTTTTTACATTTATACGCAAAACTACAGAATAATAAAATTTCAAGACAGTACTATAAAATCAAAAGATGCAAACAGTGATATATGGCACCAAAATGACCCATGATCACTCTGTAATCACTTTTTCTCACAGCTTTTTGCAGGGTCCGAGAAAGGACTCCAGGATTTTAAACTTAAATATTGGCGAAAAATAGCGACTGTGTGGCTGCATTTGCTCACATTTAACATAACGTCGAACTCTGAGTAGTTTGCTCCTAAAACTCTACTCGGAAAAGAGGCCCGAGCCTGGTGAACAGTTAAATGTTGTGGCCTTATTTGTTAAGAATTCTAGTACAATTAATACTTAGAATACTACTGACTAATACGCGACGTCGGCCGATTGTAGCATGGCGAGTAGCATTTCCTGCCCATTGGATTTTACTTCCTCACTTGATCACAGTGATATCCTGTACGTCGCTTATCTGACTGAGAGTTTGATTGTTTATGTGATTGCGAAGGAGACATTCTAAGCATCGAAATTATCAATATAAAAAAAGGCGGATATCTCGATAGCAGCATATCACTCGGTAGTATGGAACTTAGACCATCCTGGGGGCATCCATCGAAAATTTTATGTGCACTAATCAAACGCTTGAGAAGAAAAGATGGTGGAGGGGCTTCAATATTTTCGATCACGGCCGTAGCGAGGTGGTTGAGTTCGATATCCTGGCGCCGAATAATAGAGCATAGGCTGACGCACCGCTGGTCCCGGAGCCACTGCAATTGTTGTTGTTGCTGCGGAGCCATTTACTGCACCGGTCTGGCAAAGACTTCCATCAATCAAGTACTGCCTCCAGCTAGATCTCATTTCGATTGCCGGATCTCGGTCCTGTAAATCCATTTTCTAAAAGATCTGCGAGAACGTGTTCACTGCGGACGGCCGTGGTGAAAATTATTGAAAATTACTGAAACGCAGCCCAGCGCCTCCCACGTGAACTGCCCAGCTAAAAAGTTTAAAATGCGATAACGAACTAGTCGTTCATCGTGAAGCGCAAATCTGGCGTTTGGTGAGTGGGACTGCCGCCTGTCTGTTTTTCGGCCTTCACGTCGATGAGGTGATGCTGGCGAGTGCGTATCTGCTTGATTTGATGACTGAAACAACGACAAGTTTGTAAATAATTATAATTATTTTGTTATTCGATTTATTATCTGCATCTACAGTTTCCTTTGCATCGGACGGTACAGCACTACCGCGGTTTAAAAGTGATAAACTTCGACCCGTGGCGCTCAATGTACACGGCACTTCTTCACTTATCCCCCCCCCC